TCCTTCTTGGTGTGACCTGTGGAAATTTCATGTGGGTTGAGGGCTGTCCTGGCCCCTTTTTTGAGCTCTGAGCAGGGCTAATACCCACTTTCTATAATAAAAAGCTTTAATTAATTATTTGCATCCTTACTCTGTTTTTGTTCTTTTTTTTTAATTAATTTCAAATTTATTCTTAACAATTTGCTAATTCAGTTATCTCTTTGTTTTATAAACTGAGTTCCACTATATTACTTGATAATTTTTTAGGCCTATCTTACTCAGTAACATAGGCCTTTTGACCTCGAAAACACTCAACCCACTTCATTTCTGTTAACAGTCAGAAAGACAATATTTTATCCTTTTGACACAGAATCAGCTCCATTATGATATGCTGAAAAGATAGTTAGATGTGGGGTGGACGGAGCAAGCTTGCGTTTATTATTTTTACAATTATTTCACAATTATTTTAATCTCCAAACTGTTTTAGATAGTTCTGCTTTGCATTTTATGCTTTGCTAAATACAAAATTGACATATTTCATGGACATATTTCATAGACTTTTTAACATCTGTAAATGAAAAAATTAAAACATAAATATTATTAGTGAATAATACTATAAATAATAATATAAAATAAAATGGTTATTTTTCTTAAATACTTAATTTCTGCCATATTAAACTTTTAATTAAGATAAATCTTACAGTAATGTCAATTGTTTTTTTATCTCAAATATTTTGGTGGGTCTTGAAATAGATTATACTTGTTTAGGTGGGTCGTGGAATGGAAAAGTTTGAGAACCCCTGTCTTAAACCATTCATCGTGAAATATTATACAACTGTGTATGAGTATTTGTACAATATATAAGACTGGCCTTGTTTCAAAGCAAACTATGCCCTAAATGATTTTAGTTGTGGTTGCCACGGATTCTGAGTAGGATAACTTTTTTTTTTCTTTCGTTAGACTCTACTGAGCATAGACCTGGTAGCATTCCTCATACTTTCTAGATGTCATGCAACTGGGCAACGTCAGTCACCATAAAGTTTAGTTTAACTCCGCTGTATAAACCTCATTTTTTTCTTTTTTCTTTTTTTTTCTCCATCAAAATCTAATAGATTAATTTGTTTAAAATAATAGGCCTAGGCATTGTGCACTTGAGAGAGCCAATTATAACGTTGCAGTGGTCTTTCCCCCGTTGGCAAGGGAGGGTCGTTACTAGCACGCCCTTCATCCCTCACGTCATGCTGTGTGGAGTTGTTGAAGTGGTTCTCATTGATGGAGCAAACCATTCCTCGTCTTTTATAGAACTGCTGTCACCTGTAAATGGAAACCTTTAGATTTAGTCAAATACATTTTTGTTATTGCTCATGAGCTACTTTGAGAAGAGGATTGGAGATCTCTGCATAATCTAGGATCCATGGCCATCAACATTTCCATCTTGTTATCCCCAGTGATGACAGCATATGTGATTTCATGATTTTGGAGTAATTTTGTTTTATTTTATTATTATTTTATTTTATTTAGCCCTAGAAAATTACTATTAAACAAAATGGAGTGACCAATATTTTTATTTTATCAGCCATAATTTTTTCTATTAGACTTGTCTACCTGTTTTTTTCTTTTCCCCATAGAGTTCAACATTGTTGTCAATAATTCAGTTGTGCATTTCCCCCTTGTTGGTTAATGAAAATAGCCTTCACTATGCAAAATCCAGCTCCATTGTTATCTGATTGGTGAGTCAAGCACTCACTTCTGTCTGTCATAATTACTTTTTCTTTAAGACATAAGGCTGGACTGGTACCTATTGAAAAGCAGATTGAGAATGTTAGTTAAAATACAGAATTCAAAGAACTGCTGTGAGACCAGTGGATAATCAAGATTAATATAGTTAATAAAATAATTAACAAAATATGAAGCAGTCTCTATAGTGAGTGATCATTATATATGCAGCACCTGTGCACGCAATGGGAAGGGATGGAAGTCCTTCTGGTTAGATCATCAGTCTGTTGAAGCTGTTTGGCTGTTGCACTGGGTCGGTCAGTCTGTGATGGCACTCAAAGGCCTGATGTTGTGGTGTATGGTCTCTGTTGTTTCTCTGCCTCTCCTCCAGTCTGGCGTTTGATTGCTCCTGCCAGAATTTTGCATTTCAGGATGTTCTCTTCACCCTCAGGAAAAGTCTCAAGTGAAAGAGTCACCTTTTCCTGCTTTAAGTCAGCCTTTCTCCATGCAGAAGTGTGCACTCCTCTTTCAGGAGGGGAGTTGCAAGTCCATCAGCCCCTCCCTCTACTTCTCTCTGCAGCTGTGTCTTTGCTTCTTCACCACTTTGTTAGACAGACTCCAGTTCATTGCTTCCCTTTGTCAAAGCACTGTTCCAGAAGTCATCTGAAATTTGAACACTCAGAGACTGCATTAATCAAATTGAACCTTTGTAAACTCTGACCAAATTGTGTCTGAGCAATCTGCTCTTTATCTAATTTTCACTTTTCAACCATCTCTTTCAATGGTCCCTTAATAAAAACAATCTCATCTGGTTAAAAACAGCAGTTCCCTTTTTCTATTTTAGTAAAGCAATTTCTTCATTGCAGAAAATTAGCAAGCAGTTTTTTCTTTGCAAAATGCAGAAAGCAGCAGTAATCTACCTTTATTATCTAAGTATACTGCAATAAAACAAAATAATCCTTCCTTTTACAACAGCATGACATGCGTATGGTAAACTAAAGACTTCAATCATAATTTTTCTTCTATATTTGCATACATGATTCAGAATAATCTGGTAATGGTGAATTAATTTTTACCAACCAACATAACAAAATACCTTTTATTTAAATATTTAATCAACAAATTTCATTATTATTGTTAAATAGCTATTTATTAATCAAAATTTCTATGAATTTGGTCACCCAATCTTGCTCTGATTTCTGCAAAATCCATATATTGGCATACTTTTTTTTTTTCTAAAACAACATTCATACAAGTCCCTTTATTGTTTAGGGCTCACAGACTCATTCACTCTTCTCCAGCGCAACACCAGCTGCGTCCGTCTCCGTGACCTGATCACACTCAAGTGACAGTTCAGGAGGGGCACACACCTTTTGCTCCACCAGATATAGAGTTTATTTTATCATACAACCACAAGTTACAAATACACTCAGACAGACACAGACACATACATTTACACAGACTACTCTACACTCTTCCTAAGTGACTTGCGGTTACTCGTTCTTTTACTGATACACTTCCTCAACACAGTTAAAAAAAACAGCACTCTGCAGGATTTTTTGCCTAGCCATAGGACTTTGCGCACTTTCCTTTACTGTATCTGCTTAACGTCCATTGATGTCCATCAAGGCCCACTCATCAATAAACACAGACCATTGCATGCAATGTATATCTGCTTAATGTCTACTGCCATCCGTCAAAGGCCCTCTTGGCAGTAAACACAGATTTTTGCATGCACAATCTGCCCTCATTCACTATTATAGTAAAACAGATCAGTGCATGCTATTATTTCTTCTGGAATCAAAACTTTTTTCTTTTTGTTCTTTAAATTTGGAGGAGCATTTTCGAGTGTCAATGCAAATGTAAATGCAAACAACATTTATTATATAAGCAAAAAAACTGCCTACCTTTATTATTTAGTGGCCACTAAAAATGTTGTTCGTTAAGCCAGCCCAAAGTGGTTCTCCACCCTCTGCTCCTTTCCAGCCCCATGTTGGGCGCCAAAATGTGGTGGCTTCTGCCGATGCTGTAAGGAATCATTCAAGTCATGAGGTTTTGATGCCAGAAGATAGACTTTATTCTTCAGACTAAATAAAGCCGAGATAAATTATGTGGAGCAATCTCCAGACTCTTTTTCTGTACTCTCTTATATACTGTTCGTTCTCTAGGAGTGTTCAATACATTTCATTTATGGGATCATCACGATGCAGTCATGAGGCCTTAATTTTATGTTCTGTGAAAATAAGGGACCTATTATGTGCCATCATGTGCTTATCATGTACTTCACCATATGTCTGCACATTCCATTCTCATACAGATGTCTATACATGCAGGCAAATAAATACACATGATTATAATAGTAGAATAACTTAATACATAAATGGCTATATTCACATTGATTATACCTGAATAATTTATATTTTGATTAATTAAAATCTTCTACACTGTCTAATTAAACAATTTATACAAAGGTTTATATGCAAGTTTATGGCTAGCATCATGGATCAAGTGGGAGAGACAGGCAGTCAAACAAACTATACGGTTGAAGTTTAAAGGATTTTAAAGTGATTGCTGTATAGTTTATGGTGTTAAGCGGTTAAATTTCAAATAACTAAAAGGAAGGAATAACATTTTACCTCAGGATTTTACCTCAGACCGGCTCATATGGGAAACTGCTCGTGCGCTAATTAACCAAACGGCATTTATTTATTAAATTAATTTAGAAAACCTACAAAAATACAAAACACTAATCATTAGGGCTGGGTAAAAAATATCGATATCTCGATATTAATCGATTCTCATTTTTAGGGATATCGATTCTTAAATCCCAAGAATCGATTTGTCTACCCTGTTTTCAGTTAATGGACGGAATAAGGGCACTTCCCATCCAATACATGGCAATAAGCATTGTGCCTTGGCACTTTTAATATGAAACAAAGTCTCCGATTTCAAATTCTGTCCATTGTATTGCAATATTCCAACAGTAAATGCCGTTTTGGCACTGTTTAATGTGGAGTGACAGATCGCTGTAGCGCCTCAGTTCAACAGACGCAGCAGCGCGAGGCGCACGTGAACTGATCGTCTCCTCCACATTAATACCAACTTCAGCATAAAATAAACATGACTAAACATCCAAAGGTAAGTTAAAAGAAAGAGTACAACTTTACAATCCGTATCCTGTCTCATGTAATCGCTCAATCAGTGTTTCAGCCGTGCAAAGACATCCATATGACAGCTTGTAAACAATGTGTCACGTAACGTCACATTTACCTTAGAAAAACATATTCGGTGACCATAAACTCATTAATAAAATAGAAAAATAAACTGTAGAGAGGGGCATTTTGCTAAATATATGCACCATATAACATATTCATTATAAATGTTACTGTTCTTCAATGTTTAATTTATGTTTTAATAAATCCATCAAGTTTTTATGACAGCCACCATTCTGTTTATATAAAAAAAATTGAAGTAGAAATATGATTATGTAATTTTAAACATTTTAAAAACTTCATTAAGTGTAATTTTAACAAATTAGTCAATTTTAACCTTCCGTATTATAGTAATGTAGTACCAACTGACGCTCATGTATATATTTTACAGCATTAGTTGAGAGATTTTTTTTTCCTTGAGAAAATTTTACATGTACTGTACCTGATATATATCCAAAAATAATCAATATCGAATCGGTAATCGAATCGAATCGCAAGCTTGTGAATGAGAATCGAATTGAAACGTGAAATTTGTGTCAAAACACAGTCCTACTAATCATCTTATGTGACATCTACCCTTGTAACGCTCGGCCTAATCAAAGCAGGCTACACAAATAAAGTTTGTTCTTTATCCTAAAAAAAAAAAAACAGTTTGTGAATGATAAACCGCACAAAACAACAGAATAAATGCCAAGCCAAAGTGTATTTAACCAGGAAACACACAAAATACAATATGTACAATATGTACAAAAATGTATGTGCAAGCGTCTGTAATGTCCTTTGAAGTCCAGTGTTGTTGTTTGAGTCGGCCTCACCGGTGAAGTGTTTTAAAGTCCAGGAGCTCGACGAGGGACAGCTGTCCTGTGACGGAATCCCCAAGGAGAAATAATCCAACGAGTCTCTATATTCCACAAGTGTGATATTTCCACAACAAGAGACGTAACAGTCACAGACTAAGACAACAATAAGATGAACTGAGCGATCGATCGCAATGTTTCACAGTGAGCAGTCAAAGAGTTGCTCCAGAACGCCGGTGTTACACCAAATTCTGTGACCATCGTATTCTTTGACCCTAGGCACTGTTGTCACTGTCTGGCTTGAACTCGATCACAAAGTACGAAAATTTTCACAGTGAGCAGTCAGAGAATTGCGTCAGAACGCCGGTAAACCCTCTTCTTTTATCGGAAGTGTAAATCATCCGATCCCATGACGTAACGGGGATTCCCTGCGGCAGAACTCTCGCAAGAACAAACGGGAACAACAACACTCGACGGGGCAACAAAAACACAGGGGACCAATTATACATAGACAGCTGACATAAATATACAATTATTATATTGACCTCTTATAAATATCCCCATTATGTGGTTGCGCCACAACCTTTGGGCAAAAACTATGAATAAAAGTTGATTTACAGCGCTTACCTTTTTCTCCGTGTCCGTCTGCTGGCAGTTGACCGTTACAGAACAAAATGACCCACATGCAGGCTCCTGCAGTATTCAGACAGTGTTGTGCGCTGGTTTACATGTTCACATTTGTCTCGTGCCCTATTTCAATAAATGTGTTACTAACAAACATAAATTATCTCCATTTGCTAAGCAAAATATTTGGGTGTTGTTTTGTCCTTTTGATGGCAAATATTTTTTATATTTTATATATCTATATCTCTACAAATACAATAAAGCATGCCATCATTTAAAATGTTTGACAAATTCAGAGTTTTTCCCATATTATATCCATCTTAACAAAGACAAACACATGTAATGCAATAATCTGAAACGTTATCTGGAGACCAACTGACCACGTCGCTACAACGTTCTCCACAGGACTAACTAGCGATGTCTTTTGAGGACATGACCACAGCGTTTCTGGAACGTTGCAAGTGGGGCAGGTGAAATCACCAGATTCGGCTTTCCAGCCAACTGGCAAGAGTGACATGTACGACAACCGTTTTTTTAAAACCCGGCCAGAAAAAATGCCTGAGTATTCAATTATATGTTTTTGTCACACCCAAATGACCAGACAAGTGATGATCATGGGCTAGACACATCACCTGCTGTCGATACACATCAGGCACGACAATTTGATAAACAGCAATCCAATCCAAATCTGCAACGCCACTAGGGCACCATTTTCGCATAAGCAAACCATCTTCTACTAAATAAGCAACCATTTTCTCCCTTGCCTCTTCAGGGCTTACAGCAGAAACGAAACACTTACTCAAAGTCAAATCTTTCTGTTGCTCTGCACACATTTGTTCTCAAGTGACAGCTAATGTTAAAACATCTGGACTAGGTGACGTACTCTGTGTACCCGTTGACGTTGAACTTGACTGAGCGTTTACTGCTAAAACAGATGCAGACAGAGGGGAGGGCATCTGGCCTGCGAACACAGGAGCCATAAAAGAATCAGATAAAGCTGTTTCATTACCTGGACTACTACGCAACTGCGCTTGTGTGACTGCACATGCAGAAAACACTTCAGGATAAGATTCATCCAAAATATCTGGCGAAGAAGACACATTGGGACTGTCTAATATTTGCAAAATGAGCATAACTTTTCCCTCCTGCCAAATCATTTCAGAGTATAAGAGTAACTCCCCTAACAAGTAGGGAAGGGCACACTTCTGTAGCAAATTAGCTCAAAAGGGAAATGTATATAAATAATTACAATAAATTATGATTAATCACAATTATTTATATCAGCTGCCAGTAGTAACTGTAGCAGAATTAAATTGCCCTCAACTAATCTGTTCGTCCAGCGAACATTCAGTGTAAGTTCATATCAACTCTAGGAAAGGATATTTTTGTGGCCACAGAAAATACTTTCATACAGTAGTAATGCATTAGATCATGTAGCAAGGATCAAAATCGTAAAAGGACATTAATTTGCAAGGCAGAATCAGAAACTCATGTAATTTGTGCACAAGAGTTTTATTAACTAAACACTAACACAAACTAGTCTAACAAGCAAACAAACATACACTCACGCGGACATACAAAAGGGGAGCTAAAGTGGATGAATGAAGCCAGTAAAGAAACCAGAGAATGCAGTTATGGAAAATGAGTCAGAACCACCTGAGTTAAAAACCATCAGTGCCGTTTTACAACGGGGTCTACCGCTTATACTAAACCTCTGTTTCGTTTAGTTAAA